CTTTACTCTTTTTATTTCTTATTGTTAAATAAACGCATATGTACAATGCCAAGATAGTGAGTGCTCTCATGATCTGATTTAAAAGAGAATTCTCTACATATATATATATATATATATATATATATATTCGTTTCACTTTTATGTGAGCGTACATACATGTGCTGAGACTTGTTGGGATGTTTCCAGCTCTAAACGTTTACCACCAATAAGCGTGAGACAGTATTAATGCAATAAATATTTTTAATAAAACATTTTTTAAGAAACTTCTAATAATTGCTTTAATGTTTAGTCCTCTCCAGCTGAAGCAGAGGAATTAATTAATTAAATATTTCTATTTTCTTTACCTTATGTATGTATACATATATAAAGAGAAAAAAGCTTATCTTTATAACTTCTTCTATAAAAAGATATGAATTTAAAATTCATAAATTAAAAATAACATTTTATGCATTACGCATATAATATAACTGCGCATAGTGCATTTTAAAACAAATGAGATTTCTAATAAATTATCCGACTATGACACTGAAGAAATTGACGCTAAAATTTTATATGCTATCAGTTTTCTCCCGAAATGTGGGCATATTTTAAAAATATACAGTCTCTTGGTTCAGTCAGCAGTATTACAAGCATGGCAGATTTTGTGTAAATATTGCGAACCTTTCTTTACAGTTGCTCTATATTTTTAAAGTACCAGCTATTTTTAAATGTGTTTAAGTTTGCTTATATGTTTTGCAGTAACAGTACCTTTTAGTTTTAAATTATATATTATTTCGTTAATATTTAAGGCTTCTAGAAACGCAAAGAAATTTTTAAAAGTTCCTTCAGCTTCTATGAAATTAGAGATGGTTCATAATATAACTTATTACTTTACTTATCTAAAAATTACTAACGTGCTTTACTTTCACGATTCATAAGCAGAAATAAAATTTTCCAATAACATCGAATTTATCGTAAGTGTCCAAATCCCGTAAGTTCATACAGAGATATCTGATGGCAATAAATGCAATCAACCGCCGAACTTCCGTACGCGTAAATCCAACGCAATAGCGTAAACGGTCGAGCGTTTGCGTATGCGTTTCTCCCAAAGACGCTACGCATTCGCAACGCACTAATGGAAATGAGGCTTAAAGCGTTAACCAAGATTCAAAAATTCGTATACTTGAAATCATTATTGATAGGGCAAGCATATAATGTTGAAGGATTTCAGTTAACCGAACGCAATTAGGATTCGTGCTTAGAGCTTTTAAAAGAACACTTTGGAAAACGAGAGAAAATTATAAAATCACATATGAATAATCTTTTGGATATAGAACCAGTTAAAAATTCTTCTAACTTAAATGCACTAGCACTAAAAGATTACACGACGCTTGTGAAATAAACATTTGAAGCTTAAGTAATTTAGGAGTAACTTCAGGTTTGTACGGACACTTGCTAAATCCGATATTATTGAAATTGTTGCCTCATGATTTGATTCTCGAATATCGCCGAAAGCGCCATTCAAAAGAGGAATCTAATGTTACAGGTTTAATTACTTTTTTGAAAAAAGAAATTGAATGCCGTGATCAAACGTACGAGTTAACAAACCGGAAACGAAATCTGTTCCATTGAACGGAAAGAATAAACATTTCAACAAACACAAAAGTAATTTTAAATGAGTAATCTCTAAAGTTAACCCCTCGCTGGCGGCAGAATTATTAGCTCCCGTAAAGAAAGAAAATTGTATTTTTTACAAAAATAACACACATAATAGTGAAAAGTGTAATATGAGTGTAAATGAGAAACAAAATGTACTGAGATTACAAGGTAGATGTTATGTTTGTTTAGCTAAAGGTCATCTATCGTCACACTGCTCTGAGAAAAATTCTTGTGTATACTGCCACAAAAACACAATGCGACACTTTGTTACAAAAATGAGAAAAAGCCCGAAACATCGCAATCAAAAGGTGTAGAAAATTCAGCGTATAATCATATTAGCATCGGTAAGAATAAAATATTTTTACAGACGGCGACAGTAAAACTTAAAAGTAGGTTACGTAATAAATTAGCTCGTTGTTTATTTGACAGCGCTAGTCAACGCTCGTATATTCAGAAACGTCTATCTACTGGGATTAAAAGTTGTGGGAAGAAACAAAATAAAATAATGATTCACACTTCCGGATTTCAAGTGCCTAACAAAACAGAACTGCGCGCGAGTAGAAGTGAAAATAAAAAACATTTTTGATAACCAGGAATTAATTATTGAGGTTTTAGATCAAATATCAAATGCTGAGCTAGACTATCCTTTCGAAAATATTATGGATTTGTTAAAAGATAGAGGAATAATTTTAGCGGATGTTGATCACAAATTTTTAGATAACAACAACGTATCTTTACTCATCGGAGCTGATAATTATTGGAAATTAGTAAAGGGCAAAATTGAACGTTTGAACTCAACATTAGCTACAATGGAAATCAAAATGGGTTGGATTTTAATGGGAAAATTGCTTGATCATATTGACGAAAGGGAAAACGTAACTCATGCCGTCGTAGTGACTTCCTTATTAATTCACACATCGAAGAAAAGGACTGTTTAAGTCAAATTTTAGACATTGCTAGGCCGCGTTTAAACAGTACAACACATCGGTTGATAAAAAATGGCAAATCTGAGGATTACGAAAATGTTTTCACAGATTTGTTAAATAACAGAATTATAGAAGTCCCCGAACACAAAATGAATAATCAGCGTCACTATTTACCATATAGGGGTATTCAAAGAAACTTCGACCACGAAACTGCGCCCGGGGTTTGATGCTTCCTGTAAAGACAAAAATTCGCGCGCACTTAATGATTGCCTAGAAAAGGGTCCAAATTTGCTGGAACAAATTATTCCTATAATTTTTAAGATTTCGCAAGAATAGAATAGCAGTTATTTCAGATATAAGAAAGGCATTTTTGCAAATGTCAGTAAATAAGTGGGATCGAGATTTCTTACGATTTTTATGGTGGAAAGACTTTGACAAGAAAGAACTTAGAGTTTTTAAACATCAACGCGTTGTTTTTCGATTGAATTGCAGTCCTTTTTTTTATTGTCTGCTGTATTAAGCCATCACTTTGATCTAAATTTGTCTAAATATCCTGAAACAGCGGAAAATTTAAAAGAATCATTCTACGTACACAATTGCATCATATCTGTTCCTGATGAAGAAACACTTAGTCGATTCATCGAGGAATCGAAAAAAATATTAGATTCTGCGTCATTCGATCTGAAGGAGGGTGGGAGTACACTTCTCTTTTGAAATCTGAAGATAGCCTGTGCTGTGCTGGGAACCTACTCCTGTACTGGAAATTTTGTGGGATGAAAATGATAATCGCCTTTTCTGTGATGTGAAGACTACTACTGACAAACCAGAATCTTACTAGAAGAAATATATTGCCTGCGGTGCATCGCATTTTCGATCCCATGGGTTTTCTCTGCCCAATAACGCCAACACCTAAACTACTCATACAAAAGACCTGGTTGTTAAAAATTGGTTGGGATACAAACATACCCGAAGACTTAAAAAAAGTGTTCTATTCGTGGACTGATGATTTTTAATTTTTATCCAGTATTAGAATTCCAAAGGCTTTAGATATAAATGGAAATGAAAGGCTTAGTCTTCATACGTTTTGTGACGCAAGTAAACAAGCCTATGGATGTGTGATCTATTTAAGAAAAGAAACAAGTGAAAATAAATCGCTACATTTTCTTCTAGCTAAAGTAGAGTGATTCATTTAAGAAAAATTACCATGAATCGTCTAGAATTACTAGCCTGTTGTATAGGAGTCAGACTCGCAGCTCTTGCTTTACAAACACTCAAATTAGACAACGTTCATAGGAACTATTGAACAGATTCGAGCACTGCTCTTTCTCAATACAAAGAGATGAGCATTGGGCGCCATTTGTCACAAATAGAGTAAAAGAAATACGAAAATTGTCATCGGAATCTGAATGGCGTCTCATTCCAGGAAATTCGAATCCTGCAGATATACCATCACGAAGGTGTTCGATTAAGAGTTTTGTGAAATCTCGCTGGTGGCAAGGGCTTATGAAGAACGATGAAGAGTGGCCAACTAGTGAAGTGATTACTAACGAAGAAGAAATCATGAGAGAAAAGTGAAAGAACATTATTTTGATTTTGGCTAATATCACCGCTGAAAAATGGCATCTGAATTACTTTTCAAGTTACAGTAAAACCCCACTTAACGCTGTTTCGTTTAGCGCTCTTTTATTTCAACCTCGGGATTCCCCGAAATTGCTCGCAGCATGAACTACGGGGATTCCTCGAAATTGTGCGCAGCGGTAGGTCTCCAAATAACATATCCGAAACAGTGTAGTTGTGTTTCTTGTTTGGCGCATTGCTGTACGGACGCATTTTTATCATTTGAAACATTTGTTGACATTATTGTAAGTATAAATTTACATAATACTATAACGATTAATACAGTGACAAATATTATGATCTTTAGTTTTTATCATGGATGATAATAAAAAACAAGAAAAGAAAGCAACCAGAAAAAGCATTTCACTGGAAACTAAAAAGCAAGTGATTAAAGATTAGATTCTGGTGAGAGTCAATCTCAAATTAGTGCTGCATTGAATTTGGCTACTTCAACAATAAGGACAATTCTTAAAAATAAAGAAAAAATACTGTCATCGGCAACTGCAAATACGTCAAGCTCTGCAACTAGAATTACCCGTTTTAGAAATAACATTATACAGGAAGTGGAAAAACGACTGTCTATGTAATATATTCGTTTATATTGTTTTTATTTTTGTAAGAAATAAATGTTTGGTTTTATTTTTATTAAAAAAACATTATTAAATTTAATACCTAACCAATTTTCTATCCATCTTCCCCTAACTCCATTATTTACATGTTAAGATAGCCTCGTTTAGCGCTGTTTCGCATTACGCTCTACTTTGATGGAACGGATCCCCCGCGTTAAGCGGGGTCTTACTGTACTTTAAAATTGTGAGAATGATTTCTTGGATTCTGAGATTCATAAATAATTGCAGAAATGGAGAAAGGAATTATGACAAAACCCTGAGTGTTGAAGAATTGGACATTGCTGAGAAGAAATTATTGAAGATCGTTCAACAAGAAGCATTCACTAATGAAGAACGGTTGAAGGGACATTTTACTTTCACAGATGAAGAAGGAATTGTAAGATTGAAAACGAAGATTTTGAGAAGACACGACGATGAAAACTTCCGGTGCCCCATTGTACTTCCATCCAAACATGAATTAGTAGAAAGAATGATACAAGACTACCATTTACAACTTTTACATGCTGGTACTCAAGTTCTTTTGACCAATATTCGTCAAAAAGTTTGCATAATAAAAGTAAGAAAAACAATACAAAGAGTAATATAGAAGTGCGTTCGGTGCAAGAGACACTCTGCGAAAGCTTTTGATACAGTGCCTTGTCCTCTCCTAGAGAATCGACTGAGAGATGCTTATGCATTTGAGGTGATGGGTGTTGATATAGCAGGACCATTTTATTTAAAGGAAAATAGAAGGCTTGAATCTTGCTTTTTACCCGCGGAGGTTATCGTGCGGTTCATTTAGAATTAATTGAAAGCTTATCGACTAATGGATTCTTCCTCAGATTTCGAAGATTCATAGCACGAAGAGGACGGCCTAGAGTAGTACACAGCAACAATGGCACAATTTTTGTCGGGGCAAGAAATGTACTCCGATTTGTTGATTGGAAACAAATTATCAGAAGTTCTTATGGAAAAGTTCTTATGGTTCTTATGGAATCAACTTATGGAAAAGATGGCGATACCACCAAAAGTTACGTGTGGAATTTCGTAAAAGATTTAGAGATGAATATCTTGTCCCGTTAGTACATCGACCAAGAATGTACCTTCACGAACCATCAAGAAAGGTTATTTAGTGTTTGTAGAGGACAACAGAAGGAAAAGAACAGATTGGCTCATGGGTCATATAATCGAACTACATCAACATCCGAGTGGCTAAAGAAAAAACATATAGTGGTGAACTGCTTAGACCAGTTCTGATAATATTTCCAATTGAGATAGACAATAAAGAATCTATCTTCGAGCTTAAAACTACTGAATCATCCACATCTTCGAGAAATACTGGTAAAAAATATGACTTTGTAACTGATATCAAAGACAGTGAACTTGAAAATTCTGATAAAAACATTTAGTTTAGTAGATATCGCATAAAAATTGTGAAAAATAACTTTAATTAATTTTAATTTGTTTTCAGTACTACTATTATTTGTTTTCACTTTTCTTTATTCTTTTCTTTAAATTTAAAATTTGTACGCAATTTGATTTTTTTCAGTTTTAATGAACTAATCTATTTACTAGTGTTTTTCAGAAGATAATTTTTGCCTGTTGTTTAAAGTATGTAAGTTTGCAGAATATTAAGTAAGTTGAAATTATTCAAGATATTTGTTATGCCTAAGTTATTAATTTGTCGTAAAATTTTTAATTTCTCATCTTATATTGCTATTTCAATTTTCATTTAATACTTGTTTTGATTTTCATTCTTTGTCAAAAATCAAAAGGTGAGAGAAATGTTACAACTCGAACGCGAAATGAGGAAAAGTTTCGCTTCTGCCAGTGGCAACATTGAGTCGAAAAACAAACTTGGAAGGGAGTGGTCGCTTACTCGGCTTCTCTTAATAGAATTTGATTCGAAGGCGGGATAATCCCCATCTTTTGATTTAAAAATAATCTTGAATTATGTAAATATTGTAAAATATCAGATGTTTGTAAATAAATAGTCATTAAGATTAACTTTGGAGTCGTGATTCGAATTTGATTTGAATAAACGAAATCGAAAGCTCTCCCAATTGAAACTTCGATATAATAGAACTCGTGGAGTAGAAACAACACCTGCCGTCTGCGTCTTTTGTGGAGGTAACCATGTCTTACAAAGGATGTAGTAAATATCCGAAAAAACCTAAAAAAGAACTCCGAAGTTCAGATAACACCACTGCTGAAAAGGACCCAAGTTTTAAATTAAATACAGAAGAATTTCCTACTTTACCAAGATCAGAAACTGAAAATACTCAAAAAGCAAATTCGGTATGGAGCAACAACAAGGACAAGCCCTCCAAAGAAATTCCATTTTTGGACTGGATCAGCGTTCACTTATCAAAAGCAAAAGAATTCTTTATGAAATTTAAAAAGGCTAAAAACATTATGGAGAAAATCGAGGTTGGCATGAGTGCCATTGAATATTTTACCACAACAGATTAGTAATTTTAATGCTTCTCAGCAATTTAATATTATGAATGCTGCCATCAACGGCTACCTTCGTATCTCTTACTTTAATGCAAATGGCGTACGGAATCAGCAACATGATATTTTGGGCTTTCTTCAGAAGCACAACGTTGACATCTTAATGGTAAATGGGTCTCACGAGTGTGCGATAAACTTAAAATTCAAGGATACCAGACAATCAGAACAAGATCGCATGCACAACGGGGGGTTGCACTGCCATTTTCATCAAAAATTACATTAAACACTTACAGTAAACTATCTTTCAAAAATATTATTTGGGAAATCCTGGAATTCAGGTTGAATAATTGGAGTAATCTTTTACTCAACATGGATATTCAGCCGAATATAGTATGGAAGATCGTACGTTCTCTAAGAAAAGGCAGGACAATTCAAAAACATCCAACAAATCACATGGGTATTGCTTATCATTCAGAACATGACATCGATGATATAATTGCAGCTCACTTGGCTGAAATGTTTATGCAACATCCTCCTGGAAATGCTGACCATGAAGATGAGATTAGTTACTCATTAAATATTATCAAGAACAGAACCAGCACAAATTTCATCAAATTCACGTCTCCCAGAGAAATTATCAAGAAGTTAAAACGACGTAAAGGCAGAAGTTACGACTACGACAGCATTAGTAATGATGCCTTAAAAGCTCTTCCTAGAAATTGTGTAGTTCAGCTTGCTAATATAATATTCAACGTATGCATCAGGATGTCATATTTTTCACAGCAGTGGAAACACTCGATTGTTATGAATATCCTTAAACCAGGGAAGAAACCAAGACTTGCTTCTAACAACCAACGCTTCACAGATCACCTTGAAAGATCGAACTTAATAGATAACTACTAATTCGGATTTAGAAAAGGCCATAGCACAACCAACCAAATTTTAAATCTTAAGGAATTTATATCTCAAGCATTCATTCACAAATCAACTATTGCAGCACACTTTCTAGATTTTCAAAAAGCTTCCGACCATGTCTGGCACTACGGCACAAGCTCCAACTTTCTCCCAAATAGTTTTACGTTATTAATGATATCTCACCTCAAAAGAAGAACTTTTCAGGTCCGATGTGGAAATACACTTTCAGGCAAGAAAATAATTCACCATGGGGTCCCACAGGGTTCAATTTTAACATTGAATTTTTTTAACATCTATATAAATAGTTTTCCTTTTCCATTCAACTTAAAAATTCTAAAGTACAGATGATACGGTCAATTTATCCAAGTCCTTAAATCCTCAAATTGCCATAACTAATCTTCAACTGCATGACAATATCGTTGCAAAAGGGTGTAATCTGTGGAAAATTAGCCTTAACACCTCTAAATGCTGTGTGGTGCTTTACAGACGTTACAAGAGTACAATGAGAGTGGACACCGACATCACAATAAATAGTGAAATTGTCCCTGTTGCAAGTGCGCACAAATATTTAGGAGTTACCATTGACCAAAAACTCACCTTCAAAGATCATATCCATCCTGTACTAAACCATGCAAATTCTGCTTATATGGCTATTTATTGTTCAATCGGAAGGAAAGTCAAAACTGAACATTCGTGTAAAAGAACCCTCTCTCGCCCTATTTCATTATACGCTGTTCCGTCTTCAGCCACTGTAGATAAAACGAAAAGAAGTAAAAATAAATGTTTTGCAGAACAAAATTCTAAGATCAATAGTGAATGTGTCGTGGTTTTTGCGTAATTCCATTATCCATGAGGGATTAAAAATAAAGCCTATCATGAGCAAATGTTAATTACTGTTTATAACCTTTTAGAAAAAGCAAAGAAATCGCAATTTAAGAACTCACCGAATATGATCCTTCAATAGAATATGTTGTAAAACGCCCAAGATCTATTTATTACAATGAACGCTGGTGGTAACTGTTAAACATGAATATATTTTACAAATGCTTACTTAATTCAAATTTACATGCACAACTGCTTGCTTGACCAGTGCAGGATTACGTTTAAGGAGGATTTACGTTTAAAAGCCCCCACTTTCTTGGGGGGCCACCAAAAAAATTAAAATATAGTATAACAGACTTATAAAGGGCCCCATATCTTAAATAGCTTAAGGGCTTATCAAGTTTAAATTCGACTCTGTGCTTGACTTTGTCTCTACTGATTCTTTCGCCTTCGGGTGTGGTGCGTAGCATCTTAATTTCTATAACTACCGTGAAAGGCCTTAGGGCACATTTTGATTTACTGGCAAAAACTCAAAATAGTTCATGCCAGCAGCAAAATGGTGATCCATCCATCCAAAAAATAGATGTGAGAGTTGTGTGCTGTTCAAATGTACATATCCAGGGTGTGTGGGACCTGATTATCGAAGTGGCCAGTAGCTGTGTTTCGCTTCAGGGTGATGCAGCGATCTGATGCATGGAATCCTGATATGGAAAATAGCTGTCGAAGACTAGGATAGGAATAAGAATCTAGCAGAATGTTCAAGACAGCATTTATAAGAGGGCAATCCGGAAACTAACCTCCGTTATGGTGTTACGTCAGTAGAAGTTTGCGGACCACAATCATTGTTACATCAAGCAGTCTGTGATTCAATAAGCTTCCTGCTGTTCTTGTGAGAGTGTTGTAAGGCCAAGCGTTCGCTAGTTATAACATCAAAAAGTGTGTGCTGCTATTAAAAATCCAGCCAAATGCGAGGTAGGAAGAGTAATACGATTTCTTTGGGTAAAAAAACTGTCAGCGGCAGACTAGTAATGCTAAACATTCATCATGAACTGCGTGCCATAAACGGCATGAACATTGTGAGTAAAGGCGTAGTGCGTCAGTAGGTGAGATTTTTCAAAGAAGGAAGAACAAACATTTATGATGAATCAAGGCGTGGGAGACCGTCTGTAGTGAATGATGATCTCGTCAAACAAATTGACCAGAAAATCCATCAGATCCTCCGATTCACAAACTTGGAGCTTTCACAATTTCGGAACATTTCTCGGACTATTTTGTACTGGGTAGTAACCAGAAAATTAAGCTACAGGAAGTTCTGTGCTCAAAAGGTATCGAAATTTCTCACGAAGATCCTCAAAACCAATCGAATGAGCGCTGCCTTAGACTTTCTTTCACTGTACCACACGGAAGGGGGAGTGT